AAACGGCAATGGCCAGGCACGCCGCTTCCATGCGAATCTTCCTGGAGAGAGCCGCAGGCCTTGGCAGGCACGATGCGGCGTGGTTCGATGCGATCGCGGCGGCGCTCGCTGCCGAAAGCGCGTCGCGCCCGTCCGCGCTCGCTGGGACCAAATTCAGAGACTTCCAGTTCCTGGGAGCGGACCTCGACGGCGGCCAAAAGCGGCGCATTCGGGAAGCTATCGCACTCGCGACAAGCGTTCAGGATCGCGCATGTCGCGCCGCGAACCAGCTGCATCGCGCCCGCGCGCGCGCAGGAGGTGGAAGACCAAGTCCAGAGGCCGGCGCCGGCGCAGGCGCAGGCCGCCGGGGGCGTTGCCGTCGAAGCTCTCCTCGAGTCAAGGGTTGCGGAGGCGCAGGGGGCCCGCGCGCCGCAGTGCGGCGGGGGCCCGCGCGCGGAGCTCCGCGATCTTCGCTGGCGGCTCGGCAGCGAGGAAGGCCCAGCGTGCGTCGCTGAGTGGCTGTCTTCGGCGCGCGCAGCGGCCCTCCTGGGCGCGCGCCCGCGCTCCATCGCCTCTTTCAAGAGCGGCGTGGCAGCATGGTTCGCGTTCGCGCGCGAGGCTCTTGCGCTGCGCGGGCGCGAGCTGCCGCCGTCCGCTGACGGGTTGCTCGCGTGGTCGTTGTTGTTTCGCTCCGACCAGACTTCTTCCAATTATGTCTCTCACGTCAAGCTGGCTTGTCCGGTTTGCGGTTTCCCTGTAGATGTTTTTCGCGACGCGCCCCTTCGCCGCGCCAAATGCGCGATTCGCAAGCGCGGCGCTTTCCTGCCCAGGGCGCTTCTATTCATAAGGGAGGGCGCAGTTTGCGCGCTGCTAAATCTGGCAAAAGAGCGCGCCGTCTTCGCGCAGCTCTTTCTTGTCACGTACGTGTTTCTCTTGCGCCTTCCCTCGGAGGCCCTGGGCATTTCGTTCGACGGCGCAGCCTTTCGTCAGGGCGCAGGGGCTTCGCTCATTCTTTGCGACGGTCTCCTGCAGCTCAAATTGGCGCGCCGCAAGAACAAGCAATTCGGGTCCGTGCTCCAGCGGGCGCGCTGGCGCGCGCGCTGCACCAGGACGCGCCCGGCCCACGCGCTCGGCGCATGGTTCGCGGGCCTGCCCGTGGGCGCCCGGCCGTTCGCAGACATTAGCGCGGCGAGCTCGCTGAGCACGCTGCGCTTTCTCCTCGGTCCAGCTCGGCGTCAAAGACGCGGCGCTCTATCGCACGCGCGACCTGCGGCGCGGGCGCGCACTGGACCTCCAGCAGAGGGGGGGCACCTTGCGCGAGATCCTTGAAGCGGGCGGATGGTCCTCGCCCGCGTTCCGGTCGCATCTCGATATGACGCAACTAGAACTCGGCGCCGTGGTCGAGGCGCGCCTTGCTGAGTCCGAGGACGAACTTGCCTAAGCAATGGCGACCCAGGCGTCGCGCGATTCCCTCGCGCGTTCGCCTCCGCCGCTGCGCGTCGCAACACCGCGGCGCCGCCGCGCGCATCGCCCGTTTCGCAAGGGGTGCGCGTGCCGCGCGCGTCGCCGCCGCGCGGTGCACCAGCGCGCATCGGCTGGGGGTGCTTGCATCCCTGGCGCCCCCGCGCGTCGGCTCAGACTGGCACCGCCAGGCTGGGCGGCGCGGGGGGTGCCGCACCCCTTGTCAAGTGGGTGCGGGCACCCTCGGGTGCGGGAGGCTTCTGGCGCAGCTGAAATTTGTGGTGGGCGCCCAACGCCCATCGAAAGCGCGCGCGCTCGCTTGTGCTGCGCTGTGCGCGGGCACAAATTTCGCGCCCGCGCCTGGCCCGCGCGCGGGCGGGCGAGCAGGGCGCGCGGGCCGCCTCCCGCTTTCCTGCGCCTCGCGGCGCGCGGCCCCACGAGAAGGGCCCGCGCGCGCGAGGGGGGCGACAGCATGTGCCTCGCCGCGCGGCCCCGCGCGAAGGGCCGCGCGCGCGCGAGGGGGGCGACGGCATGTGCCTCGCGGCGCGCGGCCCCACGCGAAGGGCCCGCGCGCGCGAGGGGGAAGCGACGTCATGCGCGTTGCTCGTTTGCTCTTCTGCTCGCTTCGCGTCGAACGCCCCGTGCAGGCGCGCCGCGGGGATCGCGTCGGGGCGGATCGCGGCGCGCCTCGGGGTCGTGCGGTGTGCAGGCATTGGTGCTTGCATCTTGCAGGCATGTGCGCTTGCGTCCCGCCGTGGCGGGCGGCGCGCGCGCTTTCGCCCCGCCCCCCCCGCTCCCGGGGGCACTTGCATCCCTGGCGCCCCCGCGCGTCGGCTCAGACTGGCGCCGCCAGGCTGGGCGGCGCAGGGGGTGCCGCACCCCTTGTCAAGTGGGTGCGGGCACCCTCGGGTGCGGGAGGCTTCTGGCGCAGCTGAAATTTGTGTGACCCCATCTCGGAGGCCGCTTAGGAAGCTGTAGACTTCTTTTATGGTCTGGCGTCCGGGTTATCGAGCCCGCCCTCACACCCACCCCAGACAATTGACGTTATAGGCTACGCAGGTCCGCAGGGGGGTACGTATGCACTACTAATGCATGGGCGTTCCATTGGGCTTCCCCAAGCGAAAAGGTCAGGTAATCGGCCAGTTCTTCCCCTCCCCCACAGGAGAACCCGGGTTTGGCCGAAAACAGAAAACGATGTCCGAATGGGTGGGGTGGAGGAAGGTGGGGAGATGGGGAGCAGGACTTCTGGCGGTGCTGGGGCGTTTAGAACGTCCTGGAACGCTCTCAAAGCGTTCCGGCGTGCTCTGAGCCGCGGCCTTCGAGACATTCTCCAGAGCAGCGAGAATTCTGAGATTCCCGATCTATCCTCATCCGATGTTGTCCTCGTCCTGGTTTTGTCCTAAGTCTAGGTGGAGGGAGGGTGAGGAGTAGGAAGAGGCAGGCGATGTTGATGCTGTTGTTGATGATGATGATGATGAGGAGGAGGAGGAAGATGATGCTGATGATGCCGATGAGGATGAGGATGGGCATTATGATGATGACGATGGTGGTGGTGGTAGTGATGACGATGGTATCATGGTGTTGACGGTGATGGTGGTGAGGACCCTGATGGTGATGATGTTGATGAGGTTGATGATGTGGATGACAATTGTGATGTTGTTGATGATGATGACGGTGATAGTGATGATGTTGATGGTGATGGTGACGATGTTAATGTTGATGTTGATGCTGATGCTGCTGATGGTGCTGTTGGTGATGATGACGATGATGATGATGTTGATGATGACGATGTTGAGGAGGAGGAGGAGGATAATGATGATGATGAGGATTATGATAACGACGATGCTGAAGAGGAGGAGAAAGAGGAGCAGGAGGCTCGCTGGTGCTCGCGGGCGGCTACGCCTTCCGGGTTTCCGCCGTGCGCCCCGTTGGTGCACCCATTCGGTTTTGGGGCCTGCCACCGCTGAGCGGCGTGCTGGTCCTGAGGTCGGGCGGGCTGCGCTGGCTCCCGACCAAATTGCTCTGACCGCGGTTGAGACCCGCGCGCGCCGCCAGAGGAGGAGGAGGAGGAGGAGGAAGAGGAGGAGGAAGAGGAGGAGGAACATCTTCGGGCCTGACGCGGTTCTGGGCGTGCGGGTGAGGCTGTCCCCGCGTGGCGCAGTCGAAACGGAGGTTACCTTTTCCAAGGGGACCCTTGCTCCCGTGCGCCGTTCGTTCATCTTTGATTCATTTCGATGGTACGCCGCGCAAACTTGATCACGGGCGCAAGCGGCCCTAGCATGTTTATCGCGCATCTTGGTCATCAAGTTTGACTGTACCCCAGCGTCGAGATTTCCTGGCGCTTTCAGGCCTGGCGCGGCTCTGCGCGGGCAGGCGAAGCTGCATCTGGGGAGGAACCCAATCGAATCGGGCGACGAAATCTATACATATCCACTGCCCCCTGGCCGGGCCCAGCCTTGGCCCAGGAGCTGTGTCTGCGCCCCTCCTAGCCAAGCCAGGAGGGCGTGGCGTATACACCGCTGATGGGTTCAGGATGTGCCTGGCCAGGGAGCAGTGGATATGTGTGTATATATATAGATGTGTGTGTGTCGTGTCCCTTTTGAAACCGCTCCCCGTTTTCGGCATGTTCCTCCTAGCGCGCGAGTCTGCAGCTCTGTCATTCCGACTTCGGTGTGATAATGTGCAAGTTCTTGCCGAGCACAAGGAAGAGGAGGAGGAGGCGGAGGGAGGAGGAAGAGGAGGAGAAAGAGGTGGAGGAGGAGGCGGAGGAGGAGCAGTAGCCCACGCGGCACAGACGTATTGGCGCACTTCCGAGAGTGCCGTTGGTTGCCCAGGTTACTGTCCTCCAGGTAGAGCTCGGCTGGGAGTGTAGGGATGTCCGCGATTCGGTCGATCCGGTTGCGTCGCCGTCGGCTGCGGGTGGTCGGTTCGGTCGGGTCGGTCGTTGTGCCGTTGCTGCGTCGCCGCGCTTTTTTCTGGGCTGCGTGCGGCCCGTCGGCTATGGCCGTTGTCGGTTTCGCTGTTGGTTCGGTCGGTTCTCCGTCGTGCTGTCGCCGCGGGGAGGAGGAGGAGGAGGAGGAGGAGGAGGAGGAGGACTATACAGGACAGCATTTCAAGACCCCCGACGTCGTGAATATTTGGCAGCGTAGTCTTCCATGGAGGCCTGTGGCCTGGGCCCCTTCCCCGGGATCCGGTTTTCATCTCGGGCCGTGTTCTGACGGTCCCGGGGCTCGGCGTCGGCCCCAGAGACCGAAGACGTTGACACACAGTCACACACTCACACACACACGCACTTATCGTCGCGAATTTTATCAAGACGCGGGTGGGGTCATTGGGAGATGCAACTCTTCCTGGGATGTTTAAACTCCGTGGTCGGACACCAGCGCAATCCCGCATGATCCTGCCGAGTCCCTCCTGCTCCCGCCTAGTCCTGCTCATTTGAGTAATATCATGGGCTCAGCTTGGGCGAATCCGCCCCATCGTCGGGCTTCTTGGCCGCTGCTCGTTTTGGCGTAGACTTCCCCGAAGGTACCTCCTGAGGTTCGGGGCCCCTCCGCGAGGCCACTCGGCTGCTGACCCTCCGGCGGCGGTGCGGGCGCCTGGCCACGTGGCGCGGCGCGCTGCCGGAGCGGCCGCTGCGGCGGCATGCGCAGCGGCGGCGGTGGGCCCGCGCAGAAGGCCCCTCCGCCAGCTGCTCTTCGCTGCTCGCCAGTGATGCCAACGTCTGGCGGGTATCCATGGGCTGCAGGGGCAACGATAGAGGAGGGGAAAGACACGGGGGGGGGGGCTGCACAGGCACAGATGCTTTTCGCAGGGGTTGGCTTTCGCCGGGTTTCGTTTCGCCGGGCTTCGTTTCGACAGGCTTGTTTTCGCCAGGGTTGGTTTTCGCCAGGCTTCGTTTGGCCGGGGTTGGTTTTCGCCAGGGTTGGCTTTCGCCCGGGTTGGCTTTCGCTGGGGTTCGCTTTCCGGGTTGGTTTTCGCCGGGGTTGGTTTCGCCAGGGTTGGCTTTCGCCAGGGTTGTCTTTTTCGCCGGGTTGGCTTTCGCCAGGGGTGGCTTTCGCTAAGCATCGTTTCGCTGAGGTTGGCTTTCGCTGGGGTTCGGCGCGGGCTCCAACGGGCGGGGCGGGTCGGGCGGGCGGACCCTAACGGGCGGGACGGGCCGGGTCGGGTCGGGCGGACCCAGACGGGTCGGGTCGGGTCGGGCGGGCGGGACACTAAAGTGTGAGGCGCATTCGAGTCAGCACGCGTGAACCCAAACGGGCGGGTCGGGTCGGGAGAGCGGATCCTAACGGGCGGGGCGGATCGGGTCGGGTCGGGCAAACCTTCACGGGCGGCGGGTCGGGTCGGGCGGGCGGGACGTTACAGTGTGGGGTGCGCTCGAGTGAGCACGCGTGAACCCTAACGGGTGGGTCGGGTCGGGCGGGGGGACCCTCACAGTTCGGGACGGGTCGGGTCGGTCGGACCCAAACGGCGGGGTCGGGTCGGGCGGGCGGGACATTATTAAGGTGTGGGGCACGCCCGAGCGAGCACGCGTGAACCTTAACGGGCGGGTCGGGCCGGGCGGTGGGACCCTAACGGGCGGGGCGGGTCGGGTCAAATCGGGCGGACCCTAACGGGCGGGTCGGGTCGGGCGGGCGGGGCTATAATCTGTGTGGCGCGCCGGAGCGAGCACATTTGAACCCTATCGGGCGGGTCGGGTCGGGCGGGCGGACCCTAACGGGCGGGGCGGATCGGGTCGGGTCGGGCAGACCCTGACGGTCGGGTCGGGTCGGGCTGGTGGGACACGAAAGTATGGGGCGCGCTCGAGTGAGCACGCGTCTGGCGTTACTGGGGGGGCACGTGGCACTGAGTGACCCTGGGCCCCATGGGGGCCTGAGCAAAGACGGTGTGCATGTGTAGGTCAGGCCGTCTGGGAATAAGGCGGGGTGTTGAACTTCCAGTGCTGTTGCTGGAACGCATCGGAGCTCCAGCCAACTGGCCGCGGGCAGGAGGAGCCAGAGGAGGAGAGGAGGAAAAGGAGCAGCAGCAGCATAAATGGACAGGAGTAGGAGGAGGTGAGGAGCAAGATGAGGGCGAAAACGAACCCAGGTGACAGCCATCCTGGGCGAAGAACCAACCTGCAGGGGCAAAACCACACCCAGGCGAAAGCCAACCCTGGCGACAGCCCACCCAAGCGAAAAAACAACCTGGGCAAAACCCCACCCGGGCGAAAGCCAACCTGAACCCTGGCGAACGCCAACCCAAACGACAGCCAACCCTGGCGAAAGCCAACCCGGCCGAAAGGCAACCCTGGCGACAGCCATCCCCGGCGAAAGCCAACCCGGGCGAAAGCCAACCTGGGTGAAAGCCAACCCGGGTGAAAGCCAACCTGGGCGGAAGCGAGCCTGCGCGAAAGTCAACCGAGCGAAAGCAACCCGAGCGAAAGCAAACCCGGGCGAAACGAATTGGGCGAAAGCCAATTGGGGCGAGAAACATCATCTATTCCACTGCAGCGACCCCCAATCGCCCATTCATTGCCAATATGGACCCGACAGCCCATCCCCGCCCAGGAACGGTCGGATTTGTTATCGGGGGCCTATCGCCGATCTATGGGCGATGTATAGCCGATTCCAGGTCGATGTGTTTCCCCCAATGACAGTCCCCCCGATCGTTGTTTCTCGGAGCTGTGTCACTGGACAGGGCAAAGACGGGCCGAGAAGTCCTGGCAAGCCAACCCTCAGGAGATGACCTCCACCTGTCGGCGGCGGAGTCGGAATCCGACCTTCGCTGATCAACCACGCAATTCGATTCGATCCGAACACGTGGCGAAATCGGAACCCTACCCCCGCCTCCCATCAATTCAGTCGGGGGTGGACAGAATCCCCACCTTGACACGTCGATTAGTGAATTGTCCGTTTTCTGTTCTCGAGAGGGCGCCACGGCCGTCATTTTCCAGGCTTGCGCCCGCCCGAGGTCGTTTTCACCAAACCACGTTTTACTAAAGGGGGTCCTGTCCATCCCCGATTCAGGAGAATCGATGCTTGGCGGGAGTATGTGCGTGTGTGAAGGTGTGGTTCGGATGCCTTCGCCTATAGCCTGGCTCCGGCGAGGCGGCCCGCTCCAGGCCGGGCGCGGGGGCGCCTGCCACGCCCGGCGCTCCGCAGAGCGTCTGCCCGCCATGCCTGGAGGAGCGGGGCGTCCCTACGGGGCTCCTTCCGATTCCTCGGAGTCGATTCGACTCGATTTCGAGGGCGTCCGGTTCCGATTCGACTGCGAAATTGGATTCCGACCTAGATCCCGGTGTCTCGATGGAGGCCTCTTAGCTTCCGATTTCCGCCGACTCGACTTCTCTCGACTATAGGCTGCCAGTTCCCGCCGATCCGATTCATTTCGGTCGAAGACCCCACTTGTCGATTCGATTCTGGGCTCGCCTGCCCTAGCGAAGCGGGTCCCTGGATCGTCCCCCAGCTCCAGCCTCCCGGGCCGGGTTGGGCGAACGGGTGGATGTGGGCAAAGGGGGGGGAACCGGCTGTGTGCAGCTGATTTCGGCCGCACCGCTGGGCGGCGTTCGTCGACACTCTGGGGCTCCCAGCGCCGGTGCCAGGAGGCGCGAGGGAAATTATCCACCCGAGCTAATTCATGGGAAACCCACAGGCCGCCAGAAGCCTAGGGAATTTGGCGACTTGTGAGTTTCCCAGAATTGTCCCCGCCGAACTATGGGAAACCCATAGGTCGCCAGATTCCCCAGGGTTTCTAGCGACCTATGCGTTTCCCAGAATTCGGAACCTGGACCCCTCTCGCCGCCGCGAAGTATGGGAAACCCATAGGTCGCCAGAACCCCTAGGGAATCTGGCGACCTATGGGTTTCCTTTAATATGGGCTTCCCAGGATTAGGAACCTGGACCCCGCTCGCCGCCGCGAAATATGGGAAACCCATGGGTTGCCAGATTTCCTAGGGGGTTCTGGCGACCGATGGGGTTTCATAGTTCGGAACCTGGACCCCGCTCGCCGCCGCGAATGATGGGAAACCCATAGGTCGTCATAACCCTAGGGGTTTCTGGCGACCCATGAGTTTCCTACAATTCGGAATCTCGGCGGCGAGTCGCCTGGTTTCCCGTAATTCCGAATTATGGGAAACCCATAGATCGCCACCCTCTGGGATTGCCATTGAGGAAGCGAGAGCCCGTTTCAACAAGGACTCGCCCCCCATCTTCTGCAAATTCAGCACAGGAAGCGCACATCGTGTAATCACCTAGTGGAGGGGCCGTTTGGCGAGAGCACCATGTTGAAAGGAGACCGCCCTGTTTTCCATCCGTGTGTTTCCGGGACTCTGTTTTTTCTGGTCAACAAGCTTGAGGAAACACCAACCGAAAGACACGTTTTGTCATTGAACCGCCGCCATCTGGTCAAGTTGGCGAAGTTGTCGAGGCGGATGTGCGCGGGGGTCAGGCGAGATGAACATTGTTAAATGGCATTCGACCTGTCCGGGCACTGTGCTTGGGTTGTGGGTCAGACGCCTCCTGGGTGTCTCTTGGGGTCGCTTGGGATGCCCGTCGGCGGTTTGTCTTACTGGGGCACCTTGGGGCCGCTTGCAGCCACATTCGGACGCATGTGAAGACTCTCGGGTACCTCTTGGGGCCACGCCGAGGCATATCGACCAAACAGGTGCGGGCACGCAGTTGGGACCCTCCTTGCGGGGCCGAAGGCCCCCTCTGGACGCTGCCGAGGCTCTTGAGGTGTTTCTGGGGGAGCTGATTTCCCTAATTGTTCTCTTCTGCATCTCTCTTGGGAATCCCCTGGTCCATCCCAGGGCAACCACAGGACCATCGGAAGCTGATAGGCAACATGGCATGACTCAGCCGAACAGCGTTTTGACTAGGAGGCCACCTTGGCCAGCCTGCGCCATCTTGGAGACAGGGCTGGGTTGCTTGGGGCCAAGAGTGAAGCATTTTAAGCCCCCCGCTGCGACGGGGCGACTGAGGGGGGGGAAGGCTAGGAGGAACATGGGGGAGGAGCGAGGAGGAGGAATACGAAGGGGGGGGTCGGGGACGGAGGAGGAGGTCGAATGAGGAGGAGGAGGTAGGCTCCTGCTCCTCCTCCTCCTCCTCCTCTTCTCCCTCTTCCCATCCTCGTCTTCCCCGTCTCCCCCTCCTCACTCCCCCACGGGAGGGAGAGAGGGAGGAGGGGGAGGAAGAGGGATGCCGGAACGGGTTTGGGAGATCTTCACAGGCGCTTGGGAATTCCAGGGCGTCCCAGGGTGTCTTGCATCCGTGAACTCTACCTCATTATATGTGCCTTCCTTCCCGCTTGCTTCTCCTCTCCATTCGCAGGCGTTTTTTACCTGAATCCCCGAGTTCCGCTCGAACAGTTTGGGAACCTCAGGAACAAAAAAGGGAACTCTGCGGTACACCCCAAGGGGGCTATTCCGACGCACCCCTATCGAGGATGGACACCCCAATCGCGTATCCCAGGGTTTGGTTCCAAAATGTTTGGTCCATTCGAAAACCCACGAAGCCTAGGACAGGGGTCGACATATCCGAAAGAGCGTATTCTACCGCTGCTGGCGGAAAACCGGGGGGGGTCACTACCGGTTCGAACCCCTACCCCCCCCTGCCTGAAAACCGGGGGGGGTCACTACCGGTTCGAACCCCTCGCCCCCCCTCCCCCGAATTCCCCCCTCCTTTTCATGAGGGGGGAGTTCGAACTGGTAGCGACCCCCCTCCGGTTTTCTGGAGGGGGGGGGATTCGAACCGGTAGTGACCGTCCTCTGGTTTTCTGGGGGGGGGGGGGGGGTCGAACCGCTGGTGACCCCCCCCTTGTTTTCCGAGGGGGGGGCGGGGGGGGTTCGAACCGGTAGTGACCCCCCCGGTTTTTTCGAGGGGAGGAGAGGGGGCGGGGGCAGGGGAGGGGAGGGGTTTTGCCGGGGGAAGGGGGGGGGTCCAGCAGGGAGGGGGATTTTCGGAGGGGGGGGGAACCCCGGGTTCCGGAGGAAGAGGGGGGGGAATTTTCCAAAGTAAAGCGGCGGTGGATCACGGTTATCCTCTCCTGGCCTCTCTCCAACTCCTCATTTCTCCTCCCTCCTCCATGCTTGCCGTCCCTCCCCCTCCCCCCTCCATCCCTCCTTGTGCATCCGTCCTCCTCCCTCCTCTTGCCCCTCCTCCATTAGAAGAACAGTCAACCCGCATAGTAAGGATGAACAGCGTTACAAGGATACCCTTGCATCTTTCCCCTTCGGCCCATCCTTGGTCGCGTTCGCGGGCCGCGCCCCGCTCACAAAGGGTCGACATGGCATTCCAAGCCCCTTGCATATTTATCGTGCGAACTTGTTATTCGGGTTGTTTGGAAGTCCTCTCCTGTCGCACCTCAAGACGTGTCGATAGGGCAGGCGCGACGTTTTGATATTCTCGCACCATTTATCATCCTGACGCTTGAACTGTAACAGTATCAGGGTTGGAGGGCGGGTCCTTCTCAAAACGTTGTTCTTGCAGTAGCGCCGCCCTCCTTCGTCCAGAACAACTGCCACAGCTTCAAGGCTGGAGGCTGGGTCCTTGTCAAAATATGGCTCTCGCATTAGCGCGGCCCACATTCTTCTTAACACGCTGAAGCAGCTGGATTGGCAGGTCCTGCTCAAAAGGTGATTATCGCCCCGTTGCCGCGCAAGCTCGTTGTGAAATATTGGAACCAGTGTCAATAGGTGGAGGGCGGTTCCTCTTCAACATCTGGCTCCGCGCGCATTCGCTTTAAAGTTTGAAGAAATTTCAAAAATGCAGGGTGGTTGGTTTTCAACTTGTGGCGCTCGCCGTGGCGCCGCGCACATTCGCCGCCGAAATGCACACACAGCAGTATCAAGATTCCGTGTGGGGGAAGTCCTTCCAGGAATGGCGTTTTGGCACGACTCAAACGGTGTTCATTCGCGGTGTTGCATTCTCATGAAAGGCGTCATCGCGTGATGTTGGAACGTCAGGACGCAATAGTCAAGTTGATTCGGTGCATTGAAGTATCTGGAATGGTGTGTTTGGCACAATTGAGGATTCTTAGCCTGTTGTTTTCCAATGGGGCATTTGAGCTATGAAAATCAATTACTGCAGGGATTTGGAGGGAGGGGCTGTTGCAACACGGTTGTTGCGTCTAGGATTCGCAGTGGTTTTGTTCCTCCACCCTCCTCCCACCTCCTCCTCCTCTTCCCCTTTCCTCTTATCCTCCTGCCCCTGCACACTTACACAATATGAATACTCATCTCCTCTCTCCCCTGGTGGCGTCCTGGGAATGTCCGGCCCCCCTCCGCGTACTGTTTTTTTACACAGGATTCCCGGGAATTGGGTTTTCGTTTGGGTTTTTCAAAATGTTGTTCCTGTTGCAGCGTTGGCCTCATTTCCGCGCTTCCGCTCGTTCCGAATCGTGCTCCCGCTGCAGCGTTGGCGTCATTATTTCCAGCGCCATGCCACGGCATGGTTCGCGGTCTTTCCAAATAGGCCCCAGCATCTAGAAAATGCCTCCCGAAAAAACCATCGGATGTGATTGCACATCCCGTGTCGGTTCGCTGATTTCCCCCCCCTTTCCCACACCTTGGGGCGCCGCCACGCCATGCTATGTCATGCTACGCGTTGACCTTCGACACCACGCTATGCCATGTGATGCTATGTCATGCTGCGACATCCGATTGTGCGAATAGAGAGGATATCTACGCCATGGTAAGGGATAGGAGGGCGGGGTAAGACGTCAGATATGGCGCGAGCGCACCTATGTTGCATTCCCCCCCTCTTCCTCCTCCCCCTCCTCGTTCCTCCCCTCCCCTCCCCTCCCCTCCCACGCAGGCCGAGAGCCCGACGAGGAGGTGGCAGGATTGCCCGTTGCGCCGGCACGTCCATGAATCTCGACATTGACATTATCAAGAAGGCCCCGTCGCCACGCGCGCCTCTCGCGGCCGGCTCCTGGCCTCCCCGCCCTGCCACGATTTTTCCTTGCAAGCCGCTACGCCCGACGGGCTTCGATTCAACGGCGTGGCCCTGGGCACTGGGTCCGTGGCGAGCGCCGTCCTGGCTCCAGGCGGAGAGCACTCGCCCTCGCCAGAGGGCGCTCGCCGCGGTGCGGGGAGAGGTGGTGATCTCTGCGTGGCTCCTGCGGCATCATCGGGAGGGCCCCGCCGGGGGGGGATCGTCCCGAGCAGTCTTTCGCCGGCCTCGTGGCCCGCTGAGGACCCCACAGGGGTCCGAAAATTGCGGAGGAAAGTCCGGACACCTTTCCTCCACTTTCACTCAAGCTACGCGTCCAGCAGGGCGCGTCGGCACGACAACAACTTTGGGCCATCGCCCTCGCCTCCCTCATTTTCCGCCCTCCTCGCCTCCCCCTTGCGTTACGCCGCATACACACCTTTCCTCCAGGACCCGTTATCCTTCACGCTGCGATCGGCGCCGCGCGGAGGGAGGAAGTGAGATGGGGCGGCCCTTCTCAGAAGGCGGCCGGGGGGGTTCTCAGAAGCCCCCCCCGCCTTTCTGAGACGCCGTCGCTGCCTTCGGGGAGATGCACAGGGTGCTTCTCAGAAGGCCAGAGGCCTGCTCTGAGACGGCCCGCTCCAGCTGCTTTCCCCCGTGGTCGCGCCGCCGAGAGCATGTCGCACGGGGGGCCGCTTCGACCGCGGTCTCGCCGCTGCGCCTGGCCGCTGCGACCTCCCCCGTCAAGAGGTGGACAAGAAGGACCAGGCGATGGAGGACCCACGGCTGCCCGGGCGGCTCCGTTTCCTTTTGTTTATTATCTTACTTCATAAATTTGTATATTTGTATGTATACATCTAGTCATACGTAACACCATCCTGTTCCTCCTCCGCATCCTCTTCCTGCTCTATCTCTACTTCCCCCCTCCCCCCGCGTCGTTGACACTGGCTCCTCCCTTCGCTCTTCCCGAAGGTCACCTCGCCCATCCTAGCATTCCTGCCCCTTCCGCCCCCTCCCCTCCCTTCTCCTCTCCCTCACTCCCCTCCCCCTCCTGCACCCTCCCATCCCCTCCCATCAGACTCCTCTGCCATCCCCTGGCACTGTCATTTGAGGGAGTTTCTGTGGAACTCACGTCACACGTCATCCTCACCCCCGGCGCGAAGAGCACGAGTCCAGAGCGGCCTCCGGCACCGTTTCCGGACGGATCCGGACGGATCCGCTGGATCCGGGGACGAATCCCAAACCGGCGCCCTCGCCTGAGACATCCCCGCAAAACCGGCCCCGGGGGAGGTGCCCAGAGGAGCCCAGAGCGGCCTCCGGCACCGTTTCCGGACGGATCCGGACGGATCCGCTGGATCCGGGGACGAATCCCAAACCGGCGCCCTCGCCTGAGACATCCCCGCAAAACCGGCCCCGGGGGAGGTGCCCAGAGGAGCCCAGAGCGGCCTCCGGCACCGTTTCCGGACGGATCCGGACGGATCCGCTGGATCCGGGGACGAATCCCAAACCGGCGCCCTCGCCTGAGACATCCCCGCAAAACCGGCCCCGGGGGAGGTGCCCAGAGGAGCCCAGAGCGGCCTCCGGCACCGTTTCCGGACGGATCCGGACGGATCCGCTGGATCCGGGGACGAATCCCAAACCGGCGCCCTCGCCTGAGACATCCCCGCAAATCCGGCCCCGGGGGAGGTGGCCAGAGAAGCCCAGAGCGGCTTCCGGCACCGTTTCCGGACGGATCCGGACGGATCCGCTGGATCCGGGGGCGAATCCCAAACCGGCGCCCTCGCCTGAGACATCCCCGCAAAACCGGCCCCGGGGGAGGTGCCCACAGGAGCCCAGAGCGGCCTCCGGCACCGTTTCCGGACGGATCCGGACGGATCCGCTGGATCCGGGGACGAATCCCAAACCGGCGCCCTCGCCTGAGACATCCCCGCAAAACCGGCCCCGGGGGAGGTGCCCAGAGAAGCCCAGAGCGGCCTCCGGCACCGTTTCCGGACGGATCCGGACGGATCCGCTGGATCCGCGGGACGAATCCCAAACCGGCGATCCCTCGGATCCGCTCCGGGGACGAATCCCAAACCGGCGCCCTCGCCTCAGACCCCGCAAAACCGGCCGTGCGCACGATGGCTTGCCTCGCGGAGTCAGGGGGCGAGCTTCTGAAAATGACTGTGCCATGGTCGTCGCCATGGTCGCCGCCGTGGTCGTCGCCATCGTCGTCGCCGTCGTCGTCGCTGCGGCCGCCGCCGCCGCCGCCGCCGCCGTCGTCGTCGTCGTCGTCGTCGTGGTGGTCGTCGTCGTCGTCGTCGTCGTCGTCGTCGTCGTCGTCGTCGTCGTCGTCGTCGTCGTCGTCGTCGTCTTCGTCGTCGTCGCCGTCGTCGTCGTCGTCGTCGTCGTCGTCCGGGGGGGGCCCTGGCCACTCTGGCATCCAGGCGCCCCGAACAAGAGAAACCTTGGGGGGGGGCGCCCGAAAGAGGGGCATGGCAGGGGGTTCGCGTGGAGGTTCGAACATCGAGGATCCATTAGGCTTTCGTCGTCTCGGCCCCTGGAGGCCGGTTTTTAGCCCGGGGACCCTCGGAAATCGATCCGGGGTGAACATGTGCGTCCAGGGGACCCCGGGGGGGATCTGGGGACCGATTTTGAGCCGGGTCCACGTCCATGTTCGAACTTCGAAGGTCGAGGATCGAGGCTTTCCGGCCCTCGGAGGCCCTCCACGTCGGCGCGGCTGGACGCCGCTCGGAAAGCCAGTGCGCTTGGACCCCGAGAGGGGTCCAGGGATTCGTTTTCAGCGGGTCCTCCCGAGAACGAGGGGCGTGGAAGAGGGTGGTTGCGAATCATGGCCCGAGGCATGTGCGCGGCCGAGGGGGGGCGTTACCGTCGCCCTTGTCGTCGTCGTCGTCGCCCCGCCCCCCCCCGCCCTCCTGGCCCGCCATCCTCCCAGCCTTCCTGAACCTCACCCCCCTGATCCTCACCCTCGTGGCCCTCTCCGTTGTGATCCTCACACTCGTGTTCCTCACTCTCCACCCCCCACCCCCCGCCCACCCCCCGCCCCCGCCCCCTCGTCATCACCTCCTCCTCCTCCTCCTCCCCCCCCCTTTCCCTTCATCCTCCCCCCGCCCCCTCCCGCCCTTCCACTTCTCTCCCTCCCCTCCCTTCCCCCTCCCCCCCTCCCTCCCTCCCTCTCTCCCTCTTCCGCCCTCCCGGGGAGTGGTGGGGGCGGCGGGGGGTGAGGCAGGAGGAAGACGAGGAGCAGTAGCAGGGGGGGTGAGGAGGATTGGGAGGAGGCGGAGGAGGAGCAGGAGGAGGAGGAGGGGGAGGAGGCGATGGGGGAGGAGGAGGGAGACGAAGAGGAGGAGATAGAGAGGAAGGAAGAGGAGGATGCGGAGGACGAGGAGGAGGAGGAGGAGGAGGAGGAAGGGGCAGGAGGAGGAGGAGGAGAACGAGCAGGCGGAGGAGGAGGCGGAGGGCCCTGATCTCCGACGATATGATTCTTTCAATGCTGGTGGCTTTCCTCGGTTTCGGCCTTCGGTGCCGCGTTATGGCATCACGGCGCAGCAAAGACGGATCTGGGGAAGGGGTCGGGACTTTTTCGGGCCGTTGGGGCAGGAGGAGGAGGAGGAGCAGCAGCAGTAGCAGGGGGGTTCCGGAGGATTGGGAGGAGGAGGAGGAAGAGGAGGCGGAGGAGGAGGAGGAGGAGGAGGAGGAGGAGGAGGAGGAGGAGGAGCAGGAGCAGGAGGCGGAGGAGCAGGAGGAGGCGGATGAGGAGGAGGAGGAGGAGGACGGGGAGGAGGCGACGGGGGACGAGGAGGGAGATGAAGAGGAGGAGATAGAGGGGAAGACAGAGGAGGATGCGGAGGACGTGGTGGAGGACGAGGAGGAGGGGGAGGAGGAGGAGGAGGAGGAGAACGAGCAAGAGGAGGAGGAGGCGGCGGAGGGCCCTGATCTCCGAGGGTACGAATCTTTCAACCCTGGTGCGTTTCCTCGGTTTCGGCCTTCGGTGCCGCGTTCTGGCATCATGACACAGCAAAGACGGATCTGGGGACGGGGCTGGGACTCTTTGGGGCCGTGGGGGCCGAGGATGTGGTATGAGGAAGAGCAGGCGGAGGAGGACGAGGAGGCGGAGGAGGAGGAGGCGGAAGAGGAGGACCCGGGTGCGGGAGGAGGAGGAGGAGGAGGAGGTGGAGGACCAGGAGTGCGATGAGGAGGAGGAGGATGGACAGGAGTAGGAGGAGGAGGAGGAGGAGGAGGAGGAGGAGGAGGAGGAGGAGGAGGAAGACAAGGAGGAGGATGCGGTAGGACGATGATGAGGACGAGGAGGAGGACGAGGAGGAGGAGGAGGAGATTTCTCGGGGCGCGCGATTTTCGCTGACTTCTCACCGCTGGGTCGCCCCCTCGCGAGCCTCGCCCAGAAGCGCGCGCCCCTTCTTCTCTCGATCGTTTCCCTCTCGCCCAGAAGCGCGCGCCCCTTCTTCTATATATACAGAAACTCCCGATCAACCGCAGAGCGGCGGATGTTCTCCTCCCCTCCCCTCCGCAGTGAGGCGGCCTATAAGCTCTGTTCGAAGTCGTGCGCAGCCGGTTTCGGCGCCCTGTAGTGGCGCAGCTCAGAGGCCACGTTGTTCGAACCGGCCATGCACGCAGCGATCTGGATTTCGAATCACAAATAGTAGAGTTTCGAGGGGCTCGCCGAGGGCTCCTTTCAGGCCCAGAAACGATGAGGTGCGTGTTAGATCCTTTGCGACTGTCTAGGTTGGGTTTCTCGCTCTCGTCTTCTGCCTCCCTACTCCGTCCTTCTCGGTTTGGGCCGCATTCGGTCGTAAGGAGTGTTGCATAGGATGATCGGCACTGCACATGTTGTATTGACATGCAACCTGTGAGCATCTCTGCCACTGGCTGTTTAGTGTCAATCATTGCTATATGGGGTTCGCGCCCTCTCTTTGAGCCGCGTCTCCTTCTAGAATGTTCTTACACATCTGGATACTCGTCTGTAACTGGTCCCGCTCCTTCTTCCGCAGTCCACATTGTAGCAGCTTGATTATGTTCTTTCGGACACGTTTATTCGTTTGGACATGCTGAACGGCGCGAATTACTCACGTGGTTTTCTTCCCGTTGGCCGGTTGCTTCTTCTTATTTTTCGCCCGCCCCGCCCCCCTTCGCCAGGAGTCCAAGACCTCTGGGGACTTCTGGGCGGTCATGGCTCACGCGCCGATCGGACCGCATGTTGATGTCGATGGTCGGCGTCGTGTATCCTCTGAAGGGCTCCTGTAGTGGAAGGAGGAGGAGGAGGAAGAGGAGGAGGAGGAGCGAACGGGGGATTGTGGAGTTCCTCGGGGTCGAGGGCGCGCGCGCGCGAGGCTTTCACACTGAGTTCGCGCGTGCGTCTTTGGATGCATTTGTGGCGGTACGTGCGCATGCTCCGCGTGCTCTCGTGTTCATCCTCGTCCTCCTCTTCCTCCTTCCTTGCATCTGCTTTGCTCTTCAAAGGGGCAGAGTCCTTTATTTTGTGTGTGTGTGTCTATGTGTGTGTGTGTGTGTCGGTTCCACCCCCCGCAAAAAGAAAGGGGAACCTGACAACACCAACAACAGTGTGGCCGCGGTGCTCGGTTGCTATATGATTCGTGCTGTTTGGGGGGCCGGGCGGGGCGGGGAGAATCGACAACCTGCTATTTCGTCTCCTATCCCTCCGCCTTCGCCCTCCAGAGCACGCCTCATTCTCCTAGGGCCCAGTTTTGGTCACACCCCACCCCGAGAAACAAACAATCAATGGGGTGGCTGCATTTCTGTTTGATGGGGTGTCTGGACGGGGGGAACCGAGCAATTGTTCCTCCGACTCCTCCTACATCTCCGCCTTCGATCCTCCTGCAGAGTACCCCGGGTTTTCCCAGGGCCCAGCCATGCTGTCTAAAACATGTTGTTGCAGCCATGTCCCCCTGGAGCTTCCGCTAACCCCGCCAAGCCTTCTAGCACATTTCATTCTCTAGAACCCACCACAGCCCTCTGGCGCCCCTAGCGTATGCCCCAAATTTCTGGGGCTCTCGAGCGCCCACGGGGACACCCGAGAGGCTGTTGGATGAGAGGACTTGAAACATCCCCGATATAAAAACAACCAGTTCGGCGCCGTCCAGCGCCGGGTTGGTCATTCTGGAAAGTTGAGGGCCTTCCAGAATTTCGAAAGCGTTGTGGTGTCCTGTCAGGCCCCCGAAAACTCAGGTCCATGCCGTCCCCGAGCATTACAAAGCCCTCTACATCCGTCTCAACAATTTTACAGTCCCTCCGGTTTCCCATGAAGCTTTCTGCTAGGGAACCCTAGGGCTGTGCGAAGCAGCCTAGAACATGTTGGAGCCCCCTAGCGCGTTCCATCCTTTAATGCACCCCGGGGCTTCGTAGGGCCCAGCCACGCTGTCTAAAACATGAAGTTGCAGCCATGAGCCCTCTGGAGCTTCCGGGCACTCTGTCAAGCCTTCTAGCACATTTCATTGCCTAGAACCCCACCACAGTCTTCTAGCTCCCCTAGCGTATGCCCCAAACCTCCAGAACTCTAGAGAATCCACGGGGGCACCCGAGAGGCTGGCTCCCCGATGCAGGCAACAACATGTCAGAGTTTTCTATAATAGCGGCATAAAAAAGAGTACCCGGTTGCATTCGGGAGTTCACGGGTGCTCTTTGGAGCAGTCCAGGGTCTTTCTATGAGCTGTCTAGAGTCTCTCTGGCTACTGGCAGCATTGTGGTGCCGTGCCGGAATCCTTCCCAACGGGCTCTCGAGCACCCGAATTTTCCAGATCATCCCCACGAATTGTAAAGGTCTGTACAGCGTTCTCAAACCTTCTCAGGCTCCTGAGGGCTTTCTACTAGACCACACCGGAACGCCTCAGAACCAGAACGGCGTAGAAGTTTCCCTGATCACCCCATGGCCCATGGTCATACAAAGACTTCCAGCGCGTGGTCAAATCTATTTCCGCCAGCAGGACCCCGCATAGCCACCTCAAGCTTATTAGGGCATTTTTGAGTCCGCCGGAACCACACCGGTGTTGGAGCCGTGGGAGAACTCGAGAGGATTCCCCGTCGCATCCCCCTATGACCCCCATCAGGGGGTCTTCGACCTTATTGAAGCATGCTAACTAACATTGTCAGAGCCATTGAAAGCCACATCGAGCCTTCGAGAAGATTCGAGTCCTAGACCCCTCAGGAGCACCCGAGCCTCACGTATCCTTCTCGAGCGTTCTGAAGCGCAGGTGCGAAATTCGCATACCTTCGGGAGCCTCTTGCAGCCTTAGAGGGCACTAGAGAACATGTTTACTTCATTCTAGAGATGTCTGGCGCTTTCTATTAATCGTTGGGCATCCTCTAACACTCCCCCCCGAAACAAACTTCCTGAAACCCTGTAGAACGCACTTGGGTATAGTATAGTAGAGTCCTCTAAATCAGCCTTGCAATATCTTTGAAGCACCCCACGCCTTCCCGAGCACTCTGGAGCATTGAAGACAGTCTGGGTCATGTGTCGCCTGCCTGAGCCCTATGGTGCTTCCTAGAGAATTCAGGAACCGACCATGCTAGCATGACTAGTTCCAGAGGAGGTGAGAGAGAGAGAGAGAGGACACCGATAATGATGAAGCGACGGGTAACTGAGCGTACAGTTTTTTTAGAACACCGTGGGATTCCACAATCCCCCAGAGAGCGGAGGGGAAGGAACACGAGATGAAGATGAGCAGGAG